TCACAACAAAAAGTTCTGGTGAATAAAGAATGGAGCAAAGATTATCTTAATCGCCTGACGTCACTTTCGCTTGAATCTCTAAAATACGAACCAACCTTGATTAGAGATGAAGAGTCGAAGATACAGAAAGAATTAGCCGAACTATCTTTTCGAGAGTATAAATCATGCATCCATGCAAATTCTTGTTCGACAAAGATTAATTCTTCGCTTGATAACCTAAGTGCACATTTGTCGGAACTAATACTTGCAATTCCGTCCTTAGAAAACGCGTGTGCCTCCTTTTCCCAGCAAACAACGCAGATATCGCAACAACGCAACAAGATCAATATAGTATTAGAACAGCATGACAATTTAATGGAAATTTTGGAAATACCACAATTAATGGAAACATGCGTTCGAGATGGATTATATTCAGAGGCAATGGATTTATCTGGATATGTTACTGACCTCGTTTCCAAATACTCTACGATCCCATTGATTAAGCATATTGAGCAAGAAGTTAAATGGACAATGCAAACAATGTTGTCAAAGCTTATTATGCTCCTGAGTCAACAAATTAAACTGCCAGATTGTTTAAAAGTAATAGGATATCTAAGACGAATGGAAGCTTTTGATGAATCAGAGTTACAGTTGGTGTTTTTACTTTCTAGAGATGCATATCTACAATCTTTGATTAAAGCTCTTGAGAAGGAGAAAAGGGACCCTGTCCACTATTTGAAAAAATATATTGATGCGTTTAGAGAACATTTTTTTGATATTGTCACGCAGTATAGATCAATATTTTCAGATGATGGCTCAACAACGCCTACATATTCGACTTTCATGATTTCCCCACCATCATCACCATGGACGCCAAATAATCAATCATTAGGCAAACGCACAGTGACCGCAACAACGGTTTTTGCAGATTATACAATTCACATTCTAGGACAATTAAATTCAGTTCTTGCTGAGTTTACACCTTTAATTTCCGATACATCGTCTCTTTCGTCCATTTTAACTCAACTGATGTATTGTGGTATATCACTTGGTCGAGTGGGCATTGATTTTAGACATTTGGTAACCGGACACTTTGAAACAGCAGTCAATCGAATAATATCAAAAATGATTGCGGATGGAACACAGGAGTTTTGTGATGACTTAAAACAAGCCATTAAAAATGTAGACCTACCGGGCACATGGATGGTAGGCGATAAGAAGTCTACAAATCTTGTAGACTCAAAATCGCAGTCAAATACGTCTCCGGCATCTTCTACATCCTCATCATCTCCATTTACACCATTGGTCATCCTTTTGGAATACCCCCCTATTGCCTATTTGACGAATGCCTATTTATCGGCATTTAACTCCTTGCGTTTGGTGGCACCTGTTTCGTTGTTTTATCTGCTTGGTAAACAGCTCTCGCAAAATCTCTTATCAATCGCCAGCTTATTACGAGATTATGGGAATATCCTTGTCGAACAAAACCATGACATTACAATACTTCTCGGATTTAACGCCATGTTTGCCCAAAGTTTTGTACCTTTTATTTCGAGATGTTTCGTCGAGGGAGTCTATGGAGGAATGTTGAGTGGTGGTAACGTGAATCAAGTTGAAATCATAGATCGAACTAAAATTTTAGATATTCTCAAAGACCTTTTGCCAACGCCAAGAAATGTTTT